AAAAAAAAAGGCATTTAGTTGAAAAATAGAATGTTGACCTTATTCAGACATCAGGCACCATTTGTCAAAATGAATTTGTCAAACCTGCTTTCACTGCAGGCTGCATCAGCATTGTGTCCTCAGGGAGCCGGGGTGGTCATGGACGACTGGGCCAGTTTAACATAATTCACATGGGCCAGGTGGTGTCGCCATTGGTCATCTTCTCCTCAGCCCCCTTATGGGTCTTGCCCTTGCCCTGCATGTGGAGCGTGTTCCCCTTGCAAAGCCACTGCCACCGCTGCCACTCAGCAGACCCGCCCAGCCCGAAGGGGGTGAAGCACCTAGATAGAAAGACTGTGAGTGGGAAAAGACAGATCCCCATCGGCGCCATGGCCACCCAGGCCCAGCAGAGATGGCGCATGCGCACTGGCCAGCTGGTCTTTGGGTTTCTGGGGCTCCGGCACACATGCACGTGCTGGAAACCAGAACAGCAGCTGTCGACAGCATGTATGCCCACAGAGAGGGCTCTGCGTGCCACTTCTGGCATGTGTGCCATATGTTTGCCATCATGGATGTAGAGGATCTATCTTAAAACAGGGGGTGTGGAAAGAAAAAGGGTAAAACAATAATGCTATATTTAGTCAGGCATCACTGTATACAAGACATTACCGCTGCACGAATTGTGTGTTTCAGAAGTATAAATAGTCTTTTTGTAATATGCATCCACCATCTCTTCTGAATTTTTACGGCTGCTTGCTCTCTTTTAATCCTGGTGGAAAAAAGTAAATGTTACCAACTTTGCATACCACTATACGATAACTTCAAAATATTGGGAAATTATTTAAACAGACAACTCAAAAGAGTCAGGTATTTCTAGACTGAAGTAGAAACAAGTAACAAGTCAGACATTCCTATATTGTTTATTATCCATAAACTTTAGATGAGATACATAGTATATCCCAACATCAATAATATTCAGAACAAATCCAGAATGAGATCAAATTAGTCTAAGATGAAATGTAATGCCCCAAGATCCTGGACCAGCCTCTTGTCTTTATATGGTATCATTTTTATCCTTCCTTTAACTAGTAAATTGGGAAAGTGAAAAGATATAGCTTTATGATTGATACTTCTAAACTGTCTAGCCATGATACTTTTCAGAAAAACTGAGATATAATTATTTTAGGAATTTCATCTTGATGTAGTAACTATAATGTTTTGTGGTATTGATCTTTATGTAACTTTATTCCATTTATATTCCTTTTTTAAAAAAAAGTTTTATTGTTTTATTACTACACATTATCACAAACACATAACATACAACATATAAATATATCCTCTTTTTAACAAGTCTTTCTTCGTGGTCTGTGACTCCCCCCCCCCATGTCTCTCATATTGTTTCATTTTCATTGTCCCCTTTTTGATTGATTACAATGTATTTTCTAATCCTAATAGCCTTAATTTTATACATTTCTATATATTTGTTTCAGATGCCTGAAAAACCCATTAATGCTTAACTTCCCCCCTTAAAACAATTAGCATATATATATATATATTTGTTACATACATATTTTACATTTTATCTTCTCCCCTATTTTTGTTGTTCTTTATTTCTGCTCTCAAGCCATTCATACCATTTGTTCCAAATTGTATAGTAATCTGTCTCTTTTTTTTCTTTAATTTCTTTTGTTAACTTGTCCATCTCAGCACATTCTAAAAAATTTTTTTATGACTTCTTCATCTGTTGGTGTTTCTTCCTGTTTCCATTTTTGTGCATGTTATTTGAGCCACTGTTATGATCTGTAAAATCAAATATTTTATTTCTTTGGTATATGTTCTCATATATATTCCTAGTAATGTTTTCGGTTTTCTTTCTATTGGTTGATCTGTTATTTTTTCTAACCATTTCTTTATATTTGTCCAGAATTTTTTCGCTGCCGGGCATGTCCACCATAGATGGTAACAGGTTCCATGGGTTTTCTTACACTTCCAACATGTTGGGTTATTATTTGGGAACATCTTTGTGATTCTTGTCGGTGGTAAATGCCATGTATAAAACATCTTTCTCTGGTTTTCCTTGTATGCTGCTGATAACTGCCAGATGTGAGTCCCTCCTTGTGAAGTGGTGTCATGGGGTACAGATGGGCTTGCTGATCATGTACCTGGCTCCCTGCCATGTGGCGGCAGCCTGCCCGAGCTACTCAACGTTATAGCCGCGGTGGTGGTTGATACCCCCAGGCTTATGGTCATGGGGGATTTTAACTTGCCATCTGTCGGTGAGATGTCTGAGGCGGCTCAGGAATTCATGGCTTCCATGACGGCTATGGACCTGACCCAGTTAGTTCATGGCCCTACTCACATGGGGGGAAACACGCTGGACCTGGTTTTTGTCTCTGGTCAGTGGTTGAGTGATCTTGAGATAGGGGATATAGCGATTGAGCCCTTGTCATGGTCGGATCACTCCCTCCTTCGCTTTGACCTTCGAACCGCCACATCCCACCGCAGAGGGGCGGAACTGATGAGATGGTTCTGCCCCAGGCACCTGATGGAACCTGATAGGTTCCAGACAGAGCTTGGGCCATTCCCTGAGGCTCTGGCTCATGCCTCGACTGAAGACCTAGTGGCTGCCTGGGATAGGGAGGCCACTGGAGTTTTGAATCGGGTCGTGCCTTTGCAGCCTCTGACCCGGCGCCAGTCTCACCTGGCTCCTTGGTTCACCGAGGAGCTGAGGGAGATGAAGCGCTGGAAAAGACGCCTGGAGAGTAGTTGGAGGGCCAGCCTTTCTGAATCTGACCGAACACTGGTAAGGTCTCATATTAAGACTTACCTAGTGGCAATAAAAGCAGCAAAATGTAACTATTTTGCCGCTCTTATTGCGTCATCAGATAATCGCCTGGCCGCCTTGTTTAGGGTGACCCGCTCCCTGTTCCACCAGGGAGCGCGGGAGGACCCCTTGGAGGGTAGGGCTGAGGACTTTGTGCAGTATCTGTATGACAAAATCGCTCAGATTCGGGAAGACTTGGACTCTGATTGCGTAGATTCAGGAGGGATGATGGAGGCAGATCTTGAGAATGTTATCTGGGAAGAGTTTGATCCTGTGACTCCCGAAGACGTGGACAGGATTCTGGGTAGTCTGAGTGCAGCCACATGTTTATTGGACTCATGTCCCTCCTGGTTGGTGCTGGCTTCTCAGGAGGTGACACGAGGCTGGCTCCAGGGGATTATAAATGCTTCATTGAGTGAGGGTGACTTTCCCGCCGCCTTGAAAGAGGTGGTGGTGAGGCCTCTCCTTAAGAAGCCTTCCCTGGACCCAGCAATGTTAGCAAACTATCGTCCAGTCTCCAACCTTCGCTTTGTGGCGAAGGTTGTTGAGAGTGTAGTGGTGCGACAGCTTCCCCAGTATCTGGATAAAATGGTTTATCTGGATCCGTTCCAGTCGGGCTTCAGGCCTGGGTACAGAACGGAAATGGCATTGGTCGCGTTGGTTGATGATCTCTGGAGGGCTCGGGACAGGTGTTTTTCCTCTGTCCTGGTCCTATTAGATCTCTCAGCGGCTTTTGATACCATTGACCATGGTATCATGCTGAACCGGTTGGAAGAGTTGGGGGTGGGGGGCACCGTGCTGTGGTGGTTCTCCTCCTTTCTCTCCGACCGGTCGCAGTCTATGTTGGCAGGGGGGCAGATGTCAACCCCGAGGCGTCTTATATGTGGGATGCCACTGGGGTCGGTCCTCCCGCCCCTTCTATACAACATTTATGTGAAGCCACTGGGTGAGATCATCCGTGGTTTCGGGGTGAAGTACCATCAGTACGCTGATGATACTCAGCTGTACATCTCCACTCCAATGATGCCCTTGAAGTGATGTCCCGGCGCCTGGAGGCCGTGCGGATCTGGATGGGGAGAAACAGACTCAGGCTCAACCCATCCAAGACCGAGTGGCTGTGGCTTCCGGCATCCCGATATAGTCAGTTGGTGCCATCACTGACTATTAGGGGTGAGTCGTTGGCCCCCATGGAGAGGGGTCGCAACTTGGGCACCCTCCTGGATTCACGGTTGTCTTTAGAAGAGCATTTGAGGCTGTGGCTGGGAGGACTTTCTATCAGGTTCGCCTGATCTGCCAGTTGCGTCCCTTTCTGGATCGGGACTCCTTACGCACGGTCACTCATGCTCTTGTCACCTCCCGCCTGGACTACTGTAATGCTCTCTACATGGGGCTCCCCTTGAGGAGCACCCGGAGGCTCCAACTGGTTCAGAGTGCGGCCGCATGGGTGGTTATGGGAGTGACATAGCGTTCCCATGTAACACCTCTCTTGCGCGAGCTGTACTGGCTCCCGGTGGTCTTCCGGGTGTGCTTCAAGGTTTTGGTTACCACCTTTAGAGCGCTCCATGGCTTAGGACCTGGGTACTTACGGGACCGCCTTCTGCCATCAGTAGCCTCTCACCGGCCAGTACGCTCACATAGAGAGGAGCTCCTCAGGGTGCCATCGGCCAAACAGTGTCGACTGGCGGCCCCCAGGGGGAGAGCCTTCTCTGTGGGGGCACCTGCCATTTGGAATGAGCTCCCCCCGGATATACGGAGGATCCTGGATTTACGCACCTTCCGCCGTGCCCTCAAGACCTTTTTATTTCAACAGGCTGGCCTGGCCTAACTTCCCTTTTAATTGTAAATTGTAAATTTGTTTTAAAACATTAGGGGTGTTTTAATTTGTTTTGGGCTAAATTATTTAATGGGTTTTTATATTGTCTTTTAAATTTTGTAGTTTGTGTGTTTTATCTTTTTGGCTGTTCACCACCCTGAGTCCTTCCGGAGTAGGGAGTAGGGTATGTATGTGTGTGTGTATGTATGTATGTGTATGTGTATGTGTATGTGTATATGTATGTGTATGTGTATATATATATATATATATATATATATATATATATATATATATATATATATATATATATATATATATATATATATATATATATATATATATATATATATATATATGATGTTAATTTTGAATTTACTTGTCATGTTGTTTCCCACTTCTCCAAATCTATTGTATAATTAAAGTTTTGTGCCCATTTAATCATTGAATCTTTCACTATCTCCTCTTCCATTTTATAATTTAGTAAAAATTTGTACATCTTGCTAATTAGTTTTTCATCTGACCCTAATATAATTTTATCCAATTCATGATGTTCTCTTTGTATTTCATATGTTTTTGTGTCTTCTTATATTTGGATTGGATTTGTATATATATCCACCAATCTATATCTCTGTTCAAATCCAATTCCAGTTCTTGTTTTGAATTCAGTTTTCCTTGTTGGTCTATTAGGTCTTTGTATCTAATTATTGTATTTAATTCTGTTAAATTTGGGTTGTTTAATATGTCTGTCGGTGAAAACCAAATTGGTATTTTTGCATAGTGTTGTTTTTTAATTTTCAACCACATTTGTAATAATGCATTTCTTACTATATGTCTCTTAAAGTAACTATGTATTTTATATTTTCCATCGCAGAGGCAAGCGTGCCATCCTACTTGTAGATCATGGCCTTCTATCACTAATATTCTCTTTAGTTCTATCCATTCCTTTAACCATGTTAAGCCAGCAGCTTGATAATATAATTCCCATTCTGGGAGTGCTACTCCCCCTCTGTCTTTTGTATCCTGTAGAAATTTAAGTATGATTCTTGGTCGCTTTCCCTGCCATACAAATTTGGTAATTATTTTGTTTAATGTTTCAAAGAACTTTTTTTCCAATTTTATTGGTATAACCTGGAAAAGGAATAGCAGTTTTGGTAGAATATTCATTTTGATGGTGGCAATCCTTCCCAATAATGATATCTGCAAATTTTTCCAACTATCCAAATCCTTTTTAATCTGTAATACTATTTTGTCATAATTATCCTCTTTGATTGAGGAACCTCTTGCTATTAACCAATTCCCTAGATATTTTATTTTCTTGGTTACTTGAATTTGAGTATTAATTTCCAAATCTTTTTCTTGTTTCTTAGTAAGGTTTTTGGTTATTAGTTTTGATTTGTTTTTATTGATCTTAAATCTCGCTACTTCTCCAAATTCTTCTAATTTCTTAATTAATTTTGGTCCTGATTCTAGCGGTTCTTCTACTATGAACACCATGTCATTGGCAAAGGTCTGAACCTTGTATTCTTCATTCTTTATTCTTAGACCTTTTATTTCTTGATCCTGTCTAACATTTTTCAGAGCATCTCCAATGTTAATATATACAAAAGTGGAGAGAGTGGGCATCCCTGTCTTACCCCTTCTGTTATATTAAATTGTTCTGTTGTATCGTCATTCATGATTATTCTTGCTGTTTATTTTGTATAAATTTTCCCTATCATTTTTTTCAAATTTTGTCCCAAATTGCATAAATTTTAGTTGTTCCATTAAAAATTTCCAATTCAGATTGTCAAATGCCTTTTGGGGATCAAGGAAAACCAGTGAAGCTTGTGCTTTGTAGAATTCTAATGTATTTATTATTATTCTCATGTTGTTTTTGATTTGTCGCCCCGGAAGGAATCCATTTTGATCTGGGTGTATATAGTTATTCAATTTTTTTTAAATTCTTTCAGCTATAATTGCTGCAAATATCTTGTAGTCTGTGTTTAACAAAGAAATTGGTCTTTAATTCTGTATTAAATGCTGGTCCGTATCATCTTTAGGAATAATGGTTATTATTGCTTCCATCCAAGTTTTTGAGATTTTTGCATTTTCCAGAGCATCACTGTATAATTCTAACATTATTTCTCCCAATATTTCCTGTGAATTTTTATATAATTCCACCGGTATCCCATCCGGACCAGGTGTTTTGTTATTTTTTTGTTTTTTTTCAGTGCCAATTCTATTTCCAGTTTAGTTATTGGTCTATTTAGTATTTCTTTTTGTTCTTCTGTGATTTTATTCATTTCTGATCCTTCTATATATTGTTTTCTCTTCCTCTATTTCTTCCTGTTGATATAAATTTGAATAAAATGTTTGAATGATTTTCTTTTTGACTTCTCTTCTGAACTGCATAACCCATCTTTGAGTTGGTATATCATTCTTTTATCTTTATCTTTTTTCAGTTTGTATGCCAGCCATCTACTAGTTTTGTTCACGAATTCAAAATAATTTTGTTTTGCCATTTTTATTCTCTGGGCTACTTCTTTTTGAGATATCAGATTTATTTTATGTTTAATTATGTTCCTTTCCTCTTTTACTTTTTTGTTTTGGGGATCTTCCTGTAATTTATATTCTGCTTTCTTTAGTTCGTCACATAGTTTTTCTTGCTGTTGTCTCCTTTCTTTATTTTTTCTTCCTATATACACAATCCTCAATCTTCGTATATATGCCTTTGCCATGTCCCAAATGTTTTCTAAGGAGGTGTCTTCTTTTTTGTTTATTGTAAAGAATACGTCCAATTCATTTTCTAACATTTGTTTGTACTCTTTATCTCTACATATATTTTGGTTCATGGTCCATCTCTTAAATCCTTTTTGTCCCTTCCATTTAATAATTATTGGGTTATGATCCACCCATTCATTTACCCCTATCTCTATTGTTTCTAAGCCAATCCAAATATTTGCAGTCATCCAGGCCATATCTATTCTGGACCAAGATTGGTGTGGGCAAGAATAGAATGTGTATTGGTTTTCGTCGTCATGTATTTCTCTCCATACGTCTCTCAATTTTAATTCCGATACCATATTATAAAATTCTTTTGGTAGTGTTTCTTTCTTTTTCTTTTTTTATTTTTCTTGTTGCTCTTGTAATCTTTTTTAACATCTACTATGGCATTATAACTTCCAACTAGACAAACATTTTCATATTCCAAATCTATTACTTTGCTATGTATTTTTTTTAAAGAATTCATGTTGGTTTTTATTAGGGGTATATATTACTATTAATAATGATTTTTTTCCTTCCATTTCTAATTCCACCATTACAATTCTACCCTCTTCATCTGCATAGATTAACTTTGATTTTATCTTTTCTTTTATATATACTGCTACTCCTCTTTTCTTTTTTTGTATCAATGATGTGTAGTTTTCCTATTTTTGGATTCTCTAATAGTTTTTGATGTTCTTTTTTGATGTGTACCTCTTGAAGACATATCACATCTGCTTCCAATTTTTATAATTTTGTAAATGTTTGTGTTCTTTTCTTTGGTACATTTAATCCATTTATGTTTACTGAAAAAAGTTTAATTGCCTCTTCCATTGCTTGCTATTGTTGTTTTTTAGTGTTTCTTGTCTCTTGCTTTCACTCTTTCTCTTTCCTCTCGTTCTTTTTCCTGGGTTTTTCTTATTTCTCTTTCTCGCTCTATTTCTTCTTCTTTCTGGCTTTTGCTCTCTCATTCCTCTTTGCTTTCCTGCTCTTCTTCCTGTGTGAAATGTAGATTATAAAATTCTCTTGCCTTCTCTATTGTATCTACTTTATATTTTTTTATCTTGCCATGTAATTAAAATTCCATCTGGTGTCAGCCATCTAAACATTACTTTGTACCTAATCAGTTGTGTTGTTAAAAATTGATATTGTTGGCATTGATTGCTAATCCTTCGTGGTATTTGTTTTAAAATTATAATTTCTTTACCTTTGTAAGTCAAGGTTTCTTCTCATGATTTCTTTCTTTTTTTTAATTTTTATTTGAAAGTACAAACTAACCAAATCACAATAAAACAAACAAAACATGTAAACATATAAACAAAAATTCAAATATATATCAAGTTTATCGTAACTATGCTGTATGTTCTTATTTGTGCTTTTGACTCCTCATTGTTTAGTCTATCTCTTATGTCTATCTTTGTGGTTCATTGTTAACCTGTGTTCGTAGTTTATGTTCCTATTTCTGTATTAGGTCACTCCACTTACTTCCTAATCTTTTTTCCCTTTTCTGCCTTCCAACCAGGTGTACCACTTTTCCCATACTAGATAGTAATCGTGTTCCTCTCTATTTTGTAATTCCTTTGTGAGTCTGTCCATTTCTGCACATTCCATGATTTTGCTAATTACTCTATCTTCCATTGGTATGTCACTACTCTTCCAATTTTGTGCAAAAATTATTTGTGCTGCTGTTGTTATATGAATGATTAAGTATTTTATTTCCTTTTCATATTGTCCATTTATTATGCCTAATAGAAAGGTTTCTGGCCTCATTTCTATTCTTTGTTGGGTTATTTCTTCTGTTTGTTTTCTGATCGTTAGCCAATATTGTTTTGCCACTGGGCAGGTCCACCACATGTGATAATAAGTTCCTTTATGGAGTTTACATTTCCAGCATGTTGGGGGAATGTTGGGGAACATTCTTGCCAGTCTGGCCGGTGGGAGGTGCCACCTATAAAACATTTTGTACAAATTTTCTTTATAGGGTACAGACATTGTTAATTTATAATTTATTTTTTTTTAAATTTGATTTATATGCCACCCTCCTCCGGACACTCAGGGCGGCTTACAATGCGTTAAGCTATAGCCTTCATACTTGTGTACATTTATACAAAGTCAGCCTATTGCCCCCACAAACTGGGTCCTCATTTAACCTACCTTAGAAAGGATGGAAGCCTGAGTCAACCTTGAGCCTGGTAAGATTCGAACCTGCAGAAATTGCAGGCAGCTGTGTTAATAACAGGGTGCATTAAACCACTGTACTACCAAGGCTCTTTATTTATTGTCCATAATTTTTCCCAATTGTCTAATTCAATGTTGTAGCCGAAATTCTTTGCCCAAATTATCATGTTTTCCTTAACCACCTCTTCTTCTAATTTATATCCTCATAAATAATTATAAACTTTTTTAATCAATTTGTCTTGTGATCCTTGTAAAATTTTATCTAATTCGTATTGGCCTTTTTGGAATCCAAATTGTGCCGAATCTTTCTTATACCTTGATTTTATTTGTAAGTATGGCCACCAGTCAATGTCTGTACCCATATCCTTCAATTCTTGTCTCTCCCTCATAATTCCTTTCTTTCATATTATCATCTACCCATATCTGCTGTCAAATTATTTTAGCCTTCCTGATCACCTTAATGCCAATGTCCATGTCCATCTATTCTTTCACTCCATTATTTCTTACTATATGTTCTTTGATATATGGACTAGTCATGCCAGTGTATGACTTTGTATTTCTCCATGCAATGTAAAATCCCTTCCATCAGTTCCATAAAACACCTTTGATCATTAAATTATTCCTAATGTTACTGTTTACTTTTCTTTATGAACATTTTTTCATCTTTATTAAAATATAGAAATAACTTTCTATACTCACTCGAAATGTATTTATTTATTACTCATTATATGTGAATATATTGTTAACAATTTAAATAGAAGAATCGCCATATATTTTAGCTGCTTTGGGATAACTTTTCAGTATGCCGATTTCTGAATTTTTTTACCATATTAAATATGGTATTTCAAAACATTTATTATCATCATCATCATCATCCAAATATTATTTGGAATTTTAGGCTTCATTATTAGCATTTTTAAAAAATTAGCATTTTAACCTAGCAATCTAGACCTCTTTTCTAACTTCAGGAAAATATGTTTTTGTTTGTTAGCCAAGGCCATTTCTACTGATATGGGAGAACTTGTTTTTTCAGCACTAAGCAATAGAGAGCATATTATGATTCACTGCACAGTCAGCCAGATGTTCAGACTGCATTTGGAATTTATATCCATCTATCGAGTCCTTGCCAAAGACCTGCAAGAAGCTGGTGTTAATATTATTATTATGGTTGGTCACAGATGTTTAGACTGGATTTGGCATTTTTATCAATTTACCGAGTCCTTCCCAAGGACTTAGGATAGGCAAATATTGATGTTTCACTGTCTGAAGATATTATGGCAGGATATAAGCTGTTCTGAATAAAGCTGCCCTTTGCAATTGGCTGATGATTTTGTCAATGCCAATGGTGTTACAGTGGTGCTCCAGTTGTTTTGGGATTGCATTCAAGGCACCTAATAGTATTATATGGTTCCATCACACAGTCAGCCAGATGTTGAGACTAATTTGGCATTTTTATCCACCAATCGAGTCCTTCCTAAGAACCTAGGACAAGCAGATGTTGATGTTTGATAGTGTTAGAGATATCGTCGCAGGATGTAAGCTGCGCTGAGTAAAGCCATTTTTTGCAATTGACTGATGGTGAATTTATCAATGCCAATGGTGTTCAAGTGGTGCTCCAGTTGTTTTGGGATTGCAATCAAGGTACCTATTATTATTGATACTACCTTTGCTTTTTTTTCAAATAGCCTTTTCTTGCTGGGCTTGATCTGTAGTAACAGATCATTATTTCTTTGCTTTCTATCTCTGTATATTTGCAATGGGCAAATACCTTTTCTTTCAGCATTTCTGCAGCTGCTGGTCCTGGTTGCTCAGCCAACAGTCCTGATTCATTTAGCCCATTTTTCACCAGATGTCCAGGAACTCCAACAACTAATGTGGTCCTTATTGATCGGGCAATGATTGAGCCAGTATGGGTTTCTCTAATTTACACCTCACCATCTTTGTCTTCCTCCTCTGTTGAGACCTGTCCAGTCAGTGGTGTAATGTAAAATTTGTTACTACCGGTTCTGTGGGCGTGGCTTGGTGGGGGTTAATGTGAATGGGCGGGCGTGGACAATTTTTTTTTAACTTTTAAAAGCATTTTTTCAGCCGAAGAGGTTGTAAAAAAAATTCTTTTAAAAAGCTCTGACGATCCCAGCTGAGTTGCCTGATCGTCAGAGCCTTTTAAAAGCTCTTTTCGGCCAAAGAGGTTGTAGAAAAAATGCTTTTAAAAGTATAAAAAAAGCCTCTGATGATCGCACGGCTCAGCTGGGCATGGGTGGGGGAGGAATTTTTGCTACCGGTTCTCCGAACTACCCACCGCCATCGCTACCGGATTGGGCGATCCAGTCCGAACTGGGAGCATTTCACCCGTGTCCAGTATGGCTGAATCTCTGGCATAATTCTCTGAATTATCTTCCTCAGAGAACACAAGTCCCACAATTATATCAAAGTAATTTCTCGCTGAGGGTCAAGGTAGGTATTATTATTAAATTTATTGCCTCCCATCTCTCAGTTTGAGACTGAGCGGAACAGAACAGTATTCTGAAAGTCCTTGAATACACTTAACAGAATAACAGAGTTGGAAGGGACCTTGGAGTTTCAACTCCCTGCTCAGGGAAAAAACCCTATACCATTTCAGAGAAATGGTTATCCACTCTCTTCTTAAAAACGTCCAGTGTTGGAGCATCCACAACTTCCAGAGGCAAGTCGTTTCATTTATTAATTGTTCTAACTGTCAGGAAATTTCTCCTTATCTCTAGGTTGCTTTTCTCCTTGATTAGTTTCCATCCATTGCTTCTTGTCCTGCCTTCAGGTGCTTTGGAGAATAGGTAGATCCCCTCTTCTTTGTGGCAGTCCCTTGCAAGTTTTAAGAATGATACAGACCCAGATGGGAAAGAATAATGTAACCCATAAATGTGTCACTTGTGGAACATTATCTAGTGAAAGGCCATATTGATACGAATCAATCTAACCTTTGCTCTTTGCTTCTGTTAAAGAAGTTGCTTGTACTATTTTGCTATGGTTGGGAATCATTTGTTAGGAATTCATTCTATAAGAGAATTGTATCCTTTTCTATCTGGTTTCTCGCTTCTGTCATTTGTTTCAGAGCTAGGCACATCCTTGGAGACAGTTCCCAAGAACATCCTGCTCCATAGATAAGACGGGGGGGGCGCCTAGGAGCCCAAACACACAAGGACAAGGGATACTCTGTAAGATAGCAAAGCATGGGCAGAGACAGGGGCCTGAACAAAGAAAGATCACGTTGGTGACGAAGCTTTGTCTGATGGGATAAACTTGTTTCTATCGGCGTAAAATGTATATAATACTCTGAGCCACTCTTGCAGTGTGTGTCTATTCCTTACATGCTTTTGCCTGTGTTTTGGAAATAGAATCACCCAGACTTTTTACTTTGGCCAAAGAATAAAAAGCTGATATTTTTTTGCAAGCCACGTCTCGAGTCTCACTCTCTTTGGCATTTCAGTGGCTCCGGGAAACCTCTGGGACCTTACATTTTCTGGCGCCCCAAGTGGGGCTCGAAGGCATTGTTCCTTCAAGGTACAAGCTGGACTGCTTTGAGGTTCAGTGGCCTTCATTATGGCGAATGGAAGAAACCAGCTGAGACCAATGGCAATGTCAAGAGCGGTCCTGGAAATTTTTATCCAGTGATTTTGCCCTGGTCATTTGCTGGCAGGCTCCGATTCTGCCTACCCTGAACACCTAAGAGGCTTGCGCAGAGGGTTGTGGAATTGTACCCTCTGAGTAGAAATCCATTATTTTGGGAAGGGGACGGTTGAGGGGAGTCTTGTCTTGTGTGTGTGTGATTGAAACATGGGAAAAACCTAATAAAGGTTTTCCTACACTTTGAAAGGAGTGTGACTGTTGGAATAATTTGTCGATGGAAAGGTCAGGGTAAGGGGGGGTCAGGGATTCCAGATACAAGGGAGGGCATCTGATCAGGCTCCAGATACCCATGGAAAGGTCCAAGAAATCCCTTAGGAATCAGGTTGGTGGTCAGGTTGGTGGTCTGTCTGGAAAAAGAAAAGTGGAGTTCAAACTTACTCATGAGAGTCCTGGCAAAGTGCAAACAATGTGGGTACAAAGGTCTCTATACATTTGGATCTTTAAAAATAAGGCAGAGTCTGCTGGGAGATTCAAGCTAGAAAGGACAGAGACAGGTAGTAACAATCCAGTGCTTGAGGAGAAAGACAAATGGGTGTAACTTTGAGTAAAAGTGAGAAGTTCACTAAAAGAATTAGGAAGAATCCCAAATTGTAAATAGACCCAACTAGTCTTTTAAGGGAAAAAATATTTAGAAGTTGGGAAGCCCCTCCATACAGTAAGATGATTCAGACGTTGGGGCTGACCAAAGAAGATATGGTTAATTTATGCTGTTATGTATGGTAGGAAGACCCAGGAGTACTGCAGTATTATAAAGATCTCGAGAATTTACCATTCTCAAAAGAGCCAGAAAACTCTGAAGGAACTATGAATAAAGAAGAAAATGTTTATTCCCACCTGGGGTTTAGCAGGTAATAAAAAGGTAAAGCCTGTCTAAATGGGAAGACTCAGATAATTTAACTTGATCAATTTGATGTGATTTCTGTTAAAAATTCTTAGATATACATCTATAATAATAGCATGCAGAATTCAATGCGATTGAATTGATTGTGATATGGTCGGCCAGCAAACTAACTAAATTTTTCAGTTTGGGCTTAAAGCTGTGGGAAACAGGCAATGGTTAGGGCCCAAAATCACATTTTTGATTAAAACTACTTCCTGAGTTTTCCCACTGCTTGAAGAATGAGCTACAGATTGACCAAGGAAAGAAAAAAAAAACCTCCACAGGTCTGGAAATGTTGTTTAATGATATATGTGTGTATGTGTATGTGTATAATCATTTCCAGACCTGGATGATGAAACCATCTAATAATAGTACACAAAATTATCTAGAAAATGGAGCTCACTGGCTTGTGAAAAAGCTCCCTGAAATAATTGTAATGATTGGTTTGCATGAAATGGGATTTTTGCATGTGAAATTGGTTTAC